CTCTAAGTTAGGCTCTTTGTCTCTGGGCAAGACTTAATTGTCCAGTTATATTCCTTATGGCACCAGAGAGCCAACCATACCTTTAAAGAGTTTAGCTCATCTCCAATACATAGAATAGCCCCTTCGAGTGCATTTACCTTTGTGTCTAGTTTTTTGTCTATGATTCCTTGAATAGCTAGGGCAGTGGAGACGTTTTTGGTTAGTTGATTTACATGTTGAGCTGTATGAACCTCTTGGACTAATGCAACAGTAGAAACAGAATTGTGCACGTAAAGGTCAATATTTTATAAGTAAGGGTCATTAGCTTGTTTATAGCCCAAGGGAAGTATCAAGGAAAACAGGACCTGCCGGAGACAATATGTCTGCTCCTATAATCACAAAAGAAGAAGTTCCTACAATAATTTCCTTCACAAGGTGCAATCATCATACCAGGGCCAGAATACAGGGACAAGTCACTCCAGATACCAATCAACAAGGTATCTTGTGGGTCGGTGCTCAAGCAGAAATAATTGAGTGGGGGTGGATATCAGTCGTCATCTGATGGCAAGATACTGTGCAAACTTGCCTTAACCTCACAAGGAGTTTTCTCGACTAGTGGGTTCAGAATGCCTCCCAACATTCAACAGATAATATAGCTACATTATTAAAAAATAAAGTATATATATATGGTATATGTAGCAGAGTATTTCTCCAACCCATGTCCATCTGCCTCTTTCTGTCCCTTGCCCACCCCCATCCCCATAGTAGGAAACAACTTCCCTTAGCATTTCCTACAGTTCTGCAGTGTTTCCTAACACAAAAAGAGGTCAGTAGGACTATTCTACATGCTCTGGAGTTCATCCCATATCATTGTAGAAACGACCTTTTTGTAAAAGGCTCCACAGTGCTCCACTGTGTTTAATTTAACCAGTCCTTTACTGGAAGGTTCATGTGTGGCTTCCAGTCTTGGTATCACAGACAAAATTACAATGAATAACCCTGGGTCCACATCATTTCATATATACGTATAACATATCTGTACGACAGATTCTTAGAGGTGGGGTTGCTATCCAGAAGTGAATGTGTAGGGTACAGAAGCGTTGCTCAGTTTTCCTTCAAATCTCTTATCTATTCTGTTCTCCTATGAGCAATGCATGAGAATGTTTCCCTGCAGCCTTAACTGTAAAGGGTGTTTTTAAACGTCTGGATCCTTGTCAATCCGATGGTGAGGTAAGTACCTCAATGTATTTAAATTCATATGACTCTTATTATAAGTTGGGTTGAATACCTCTTCATACATTTAAGTGCCCATGTTCTTTTATAAATGCCTATGTTGGAGTCTGTCTCCCTCACTCCAAATTAAGCATCATGAGAAAAGAGATAATGCTTTATACAACTCATACTTTCCCTTATGGACTGTGGAAAATAAAAAAAAATTAATAAATTAAATATATTTAATGATTATCAGAATCACTGTGATTTTCACTCTCTGCATATTATTTAAAATGCTTTTGATAGCAATTTTTCTAACCTTTGGATCACAATCTTACATATAAATATGTCCATAATACAGAGTATTTAGATGAATAAAAATTAAAAAATCACTTATAAAATTATTTTATTTATTATTTTTAAATTATTTTTTAATATTTGGTTCTTAAGAGAGAGAAATAGACAGAGACAGAGCATAAGCAGGGGAGGGGCAGAAAGAGATGGAGACACAGAATCTGAAGCAGGCTCCAGGCTCTGAGCTGTCAGCACAGAGCCCGGTGGGGGACTTGAACTCAAGAACCACAAGATCATGACCTGAGCTGAAGTTGGACGCTCAACCAACTGAGCGACCTGGGTGCCCCATAATAAAATAATTTTAAACAATGACTATCTATTATTCCTAATCATTCCCTGTCCAAAGGCTTTTTAAGAAATATTAACAATCATATTGTAATATGCCGACACTTTGGAAATCTTACTTTCTTTACCTAATACTGTAATACGGTTCTCAGTAGTCTTTTTTGCTGCATTATAAATTTCTTAATGGAGGCATCAGAAGTCGTCCTTTACTCTTGCTCAGTTTCTAACACAGAATAAATATTATTAAGGGAGCCCACCTTGTTGGTGGAGGATGACCCAAGAAGAAAATAAATTTCCTGAACCAGGCAACCCTCTGATTTTTATTTTCTCTCTTTTTGCTACTTTTAGGTCAAACACCTCACTTCTTATTCATACACACTGCCAAGTCTTTGGCACATATTATTGGATTGGTCTGGGTTTGTTTCTTATAAACACATGTGTGTGTCATGTTGATAGCTTTCTGAAGGCAAGCACACAGTTATTATAATATACTCATTGCCAGGCCAGGTGATATACAACTGAACTCTATAAAGCATGGGGGAAGTCTGTCTCAGAGCCCTACAGACCCATAGATAAGACTGCACATCAGGGGTGTTTTCATGTTTGGGACTATGGAGAATGCAGAAATATTGTCAACTGTCAGTTGCAAACATCCATCCTGGAGGAAAGTCAGTGTTCAGATGATGTGGAATACAGGCTCAAGACCGAAAAAGACTGGAGGGCCTGGGTGGCTGAGTTGGTTAAGCATCCGACCTCAGCTCAGGTCATGAGCTCACAGTTTGTGAGTTCAAACCCCACATCAGACTCTGTGCTGACAGCTAGCTCAGAGCCTGGAGCCTGCTTCAGATTCTGTGTCTCCCTCTCTCTCTGCCCCTCCTCCATTCATGCTCTGTCTCTCTCTCTACCTCAAAAATAAATAAACATTAAAAAATATTTTTAAAGACTGGAAAAGACTGAATGAGAACTTCTAGTTGCCCAAGGATCTGCAAATTTTTTACTGTAGTCAGGATTCTTCCAGTCTTGAAGTTACATTATTTTCTGAGGTAAAATTCTTGAAACCAACTAAGCAACTCCAGCTCTCTCAAGAAGATTTTCTAGGTTGACCTGAAGAGAGTTTGTTCTGCATTTATGTAGTCTATGTGCAAATCTTTCATTGTGAGTGTCCTGAGAACCAGTTTAGTTTTGCTATTATCTTGTTCTGTGCTTCTGATTCCTAGATGTTAAACCACGTTTGCACCTATAAATGGTGGACATTGAATATTCTCCAATGGATTGATGCTTTCAGTCCATTATTTATATGGCCTCTATATCCATCCAGTGCAGGCACATGCATGGTGCCCAGTTGAGGTCAGGGAGCCATAGCTGACCGCAGGGCCTTGATGATGATGATGATCCTGATGGTCATAAATGGAGAGTGATGGTCAGAAGCTGGGTCCACAGCACATGGGTATCCCATGTCGTAGTCATGATGGTGGTGGTATAAGTGATGGTGGTAGTGGTGATGGTGTCTCGGATGGTGCTTGGTATAGAGTGGACATGCAGTGCTGGGTGACTCAGTGAATGAGTGATAGCAGATGTGGTCAGGCAGGACTGGTGGTGCTTGTCATGGACAAGAAGAGAATCTTGTGCTGCTCATCTTTCTCAAACCATGGCAAGGCTAGTTGTAGACAAATTCATGGCTCAGTCCTCCTGGGTCACCCAGCTCTTGTTTTGGGTGCAAATGAAGCTGTTGGAGAAATCTCTTACCAAGACAATATTTAGGAAGAAGACACTTCTGGGGTGCTCAAGGTGTTACTGTCCAGGTGTGCCCACGATTATGTGAGATGGGTCATCTCTCCTTGGAGAAAGCTCCCGGAACTTGCCAACACTGGATTCCAGAGCCTGACAGTCAGGGTTGCAGGGCTGAGAAAAACTGTTTGAGAAACAGAGTGGATCTGCTTCACTTTCCTTTGCCCCACTTTCTGCCCCAGAGGAACCCCTTGGGGAGACCTCGTCATGCCTAGAAACCCCAGGGAGCACACAGCAAGGAGCCCCAGAGAGGCCAACATGTCCAGGAACATGAGATATAAGTAGGGCAGAATCTTGGAGGCAGAGGGTGCTGAGGAGGATGCCGTGAGTGTTAATGTCATCCAAACAGTCAGGTAACGGGCTGGGACGGGACAACAGGGGTGAGTCTGGTGAAAGCAGAGGACCAGGAGAGGGCATTGATCTTTCCTAGGGGAGGCTTGTTAGGATGAAGGCTGTGGGAGGAGAACTCTGGGGAAGTTAGTGTAGATCACCTACCTCCACCCTCACCCCAAAACCATTTTTCAGGGACTTTAGGGAACCATAAATTTTTTGTGTTGTCAGAGTCTTAGAAAACATCTGATCAACACTGTTTTTTTGTTTATTTTAGGGAAGTTGAGGGTATGTGAGGAGAAGCTCAGCTCAGTGTCATTGGCGGTCAGCAACAGAGCACGTGCCCAAACCAAATCTCGATGATTCAGACAAGGCTCTTCTTTTTATACTATAGGACTTCTTGCTTGGGACTTTTGACCTTATTGTTTTCCTCTCTGAGAGTTTCCAGTGCATGTCTCCTGTGGAGATCACATTTCAAAAGACATGGTGGGTCGGCTAAAGGAGGTACCATTGGGCACTGCGGACTTCAGCAGTTGTCGGGGACTGTTGTCAGACTGCCTACATCTCTGCCATTTCCCACTTCTCCTTCTAGCACTACGGGAACAGTCTATAAACTCTAGTGGGGCTTCCTCAAAGAGGCCCCGGCAGTCACCTTTAGGGGATGACTTCTTTCTTCTGCACAGCTCAGTTTGTTGGTTGTTTCATCATTGGAAACTATAGGAAGGACAGAGGTAGGAATTTTCCTATCTCCTATTTCCTGATGGGGAACTAGGGACCAAATCCAGGTGTCTGAGTCTGTAGAACCCAATATTATAAATTAGAGGATTGAACTGCAATCTCGAGCCTTGGTTTCTAGTTCCAGCCCTGTCAACCACAGATTCTATGATGTAAGTCCAACCACTTCTGCCCTTGGGAGTGCATTTTCTCTGTTGCCAAGGGAGTAGCATTGGTTACACAATGCCAAGTTCCTACTAGGCGCTCACACTTAGTGTTCTTGGCACTAGGAAGATTCTTTGGAAGACAGGAAGGCCCTGAGGTACTTCCTAGGAATCATGGCTCAGCTCAACCACACATGGGCCCAGAGTTTCATCCTTGCTGGTTTCAGTGCCTCAGGAACCCTGCGACCCCTTGCCTTCCTGGGGACCCTGTGCATCTATCTCCTCACGCTGGCTGGGAACCTGTTCATCATTGTCCTGGTCCGGGCAGATGCAGGACTGTCCACACCCATGTACTTCTTCATCGGGGTCCTCTCCTTCCTGGAGCTCTGGTACGTCAGAGCCACGGTGCCCACGCTGCTGCACACCTGGCTCCGTGGGCGCTCAGCCGTCTCGGCGGCGGCGTGCTTCCTCCAGCTGTATGTCTTCCACTCCCTGGGCATGACAGAGTGCCATCTGCTGGGCGTCATGGCGCTGGACCGCTACCTGGCCATCTGTCGCCCGCTCCACTACCACGCACTCATGAGCAGAAAGGTACGGTGCTGGCTAGCAGGGGCCACTTGGGTGGCGGGCTTCTCAGCGGCGCTGGTGCCGGCCGGCCTCACGGCCACTCTGCCCTTCTGTTTGAGAGAGGTGGCCCACTACTTCTGTGACCTGGCACCGCTGATGCGGTTGGCGTGTGTGGACACTGGCTGGCACGCTCGAGTGCATGGGGCAGTGATTGGTGTGGCCACTGGCTGCAACTTCGTGCTCATTTTGGGACTCTACGGGGGTATCCTGAGGGCTGTGCTGAAGCTGCCTTCGGCTGCCAGCCGGGCCAAGGCCTTCTCCACCTGCTCTTCCCACATGACCGTGGTGGCCCTCTTTTATGCCTCTGCCTTCGCGGTCTATGTGGGGCCACCTGGGAGCCGCTCTGAAGGCACAGACAAGCACATCGCCTTGGTGTACACCCTTTTCACTCCTTTCCTCAACCCCATTATTTATAGTCTTCGTAACAAGGAGGTGAAGGAGGCTGTCAGGAGGGTCACCCAGAGGATTAGGGCTCTGTTGAAGGGACACTGAGGATCTATGGAGTCATTTGGTGACTGTAGGATTCAGTTGGCTAGTCACTCAATCAATCAGATAATTGTTTCAAATGCACTGTATATTCCACTGGATTTAAATTTCAATGGATATTCAAACACCCTGCATATTCAAACAGGCGATGCCTTGGATTGAAGCAAACTGAGACAGTTGTAGAGGTCAAACCAACATGGCCTCTGAACCCTTTACTATCCAATATGGGTGAAAAGACACATGTTATAAAAAGTAACCAAAAGTAAGGATGCACGTGTAGGTATTTAGGTAGACTTAGAACTTAGAAATGGAACTATGTTTGAGAAGGTTGGGAAAAACAAAATCTGACTGTAGGATTCCTCCAAGATGGGATCCTGGAGGAGCATGAAGAAAGGAGAAAAAGAAGGCCAGCAGATGAAAAGGGAAATAGCTTCTCAGGCACATGTTTAGATGGGGATTGGGAAACCATGGGAAGGGGGCTCGAACAAGTGTGGGGCTCCATGTTCCTGGAAAATCCTGCAGTACAAGAGTGTTTAAAGCTGGAACTGAGAATTTATTCCACAAAGGGGAAGATCGAGAATTAGAGATGAGCGTGTTGGGGGTGCTGGTGGTTAAAAGTGAGTTAAAGGAATATGTCCTGCAGTGTGGATTTGGAATCATCAGTTAGTCATTTGGGCAAAAACACTGGAGTCCTTTGAGTACAAAGCTAGCTCTGGGAACCAAGAGGAGATAATAAAAATGGAGGCACAATTTATGTTTTAAGAGAGTTTATAGTTTTGTTTGGAAGAGTCAGTCCTCCTTCCCTCTCCCCCACCCCCCACACACACCACCACCACCACCAGTGACATTGACTAATATCAAGAAATAGATGTTTCCTTTTTTGCTTTTTGCTCTCTGTGTATCTGCAGTGGTGGGAGGTCATGAAGTTAGGAAGCGGTGGCAGGATTGGCAGAAAAGGACTGAGGGAAAATAAAGTAGCTTCACAGTTGTTGATCCTGATAAATTTCCCAAGCCTCAGACTGTGGAATCCTAATCCCCTGGGTACCTAGTTGGGACTTCTCTGGAAGTTCCCTTCAGACCAGACATGGAACCGTAGGATCCGCATTGGAGATGCCTTGTCTCAAGATAACATGGCAACATCTCTACTGAAAATACAGAAAGAAAATTTATTTTCCAAATAATTCTTCTGGGAAGCATTTTTAGAAATGATAAAATAAATGAGTTGGGTTTCTTGGTTTTTTCCTAATGATGTTGAGATACTTTATTTTTAAGGCAAAGATGACTTGGTGTTTACTTTAACTTATTTTACTGGAAGGAAAAATAAGATCACGATCTGAGCCAAAACTAAGAGTCAGATACTTAATGAACTGAGCCACCCAGGTGCCTCTGGAGTTTCCATTTCCGTTTCTTAAATGGAGATGGACCGTCCAACTTGAGGTTTTTCCAGCACCAATGTAGCCTTGGCTTTAGGTCAATTTTCCCTGACCATCCAGCCCAGATCTGGACTACCGTCTGTGCTCTGACCTTTGAGGGAGTCCTGAGTAAAGAGAAACCCATTTTAATATTTTAAAGCATGAAAGCAAATCTTATGGGGAATAACAATATTATTCCCCATAATAGCAGCAGCAGAACTCAAACTGTCCCCAGTCAAAGTGATGGTTGTTTTCTTGTGCGAGTGGACTGGGGCAGGGAGAGGCTTGTACAGGTAAGATAAGTGGACTAGGTTCAAGTCCAGGTTAAGCCAACACAGAATTTATGAAGACCAACTTGGAGCAGACACCATCTGCAAGTAGATGAAAGCCACCAGGAAGTCACTGAATCACTGAACTTCTGAGTTGGGGGCTGTAGGGGCTATGAAGCCAGATGGCCCAACTCCTCTGCCTTTATGGAAAATAAAAATGAAGTCAGTAGGTGGGAAATCACCTACCCACGGTTACGTGGGAACTGAGAAACAGGCTGGGAGTGGAACAGTTCTAAGGGTTTCTAACTCTTCTCACTATATCCCTAGGCCACATGGCCTCTAAGTGGCCTTGCTGATCTGAAGCAGAAAGTCTGTGGCCCTGAGTGAGCACCACCCAGCAGGAGAAGGGGTGGTGGTGCAAAGTTGGTGTGTCATGGCGGTCTGTGGGGCAGCCTGCTTGTCTCTCCCACTGAGCAACTGTCACTTACAGAGAACGTGGCCTGCCACAGGGTGTACAAGGCTTTCCACTGCCATTTTTCCTTTGCCTGCCAGAGGAAAGAGTAGTTTCCATCCTTCCCGAAGCCTTCCTGAGCTCCTGCCTAACTCCATAGTCTCTTATGCAGACACACCATTCATACTAGACTAGGTCGTGTCCGTTTTCTCATTAAATTCCCCACAGCAGGAAAATGGATGAATCAGTTAGTAGATGAAGAGTCTGAACTCACGTCAAAAATGAGCAAAAAGAAAGAACAACATTTAACAAAACAGACTCTGGTTGTGCTGACTGAGTCTTCGCTTTCTCTGCCATTCCTGCTGTCTGTGTGAACTCAGAAGTGACTTTTCACTTAAATGTAGGCTAGTTGCAGAAAATACTTTTAAACATTATTTACATGAAACAGCAGAGTCATCACTGGAAAAATATTTTGCTCTCCACAGTCATAAAGGCCTAAAAATAAGAAATTATAGGTAATGTCTCCAGGTCTCTGCTTCACTTAGTGAACAAGTCACAACATTTCTGAGCTTTCCCAAACACGGGGGCATTGACTAGCCATGGGATAAATGAGCCTCAACAAGTCACCTGGAATCTTCTCATAACCACAAATAATGAACTTTATCTTAGTGAGACTGTGCATCCAACAACTACCTAAATGAGAAACTTGAAGGTAAGACCTGGCAATTTGTGTTTCAACAAACTTCAGGATAATTCGGAGCAAGGTCAAGTCAGAACCACTGATCTGATATGATTGGTGAAATTGGAGGATGATGTGGTCATGTGTGCCCCAGCCCTTCGCTCTGCTTCTGTCCTTGGGAGCTGCCCACCCAGTTTGCATGTTCTCCCTGCCATGGAGTGGAAGAGAACTGTTCTCATGGAGGAAGTCCAGTAATCAGATGGGGGACCTATAAGAAAAATGATTACACCCACTGTCAAAGTAAGATATTTGAAGGCCCTCCCCTGAGTAGATAATACACCAGGCTGATAAATCATAAGTAAATATATAAACCATTTAATGATAACAATTAACACAATCCACCCACTGAAGGCACATGAAATAAAGATCAACTTCAAGCATGTATGAATTAAGTACCTGCCAGGCTGTAAAATAAGGCACACTAAAGTTGTATACCCTTTGTTCTGAAGATCTAATGTACAGCACGGGGACCATAGTTAACGATACCTTATTGTATATTTGAAATTTGCTAAGAGAGCTCTCCAGAGTTCTTGCCACAGAGAAGAAGAAGAAGAAGAAGAAGAAGAAGAAGAAGAAGAAGAAGAAGAAAAGAGAGTAGTAAGTATGTGAGGTGATGGATATTTAATTAGCTTGATTATGGCCATCATTTCACAGTGACTACTCCATTATCCATGGCTTCAGTAAGCCGTGGTCAACTGCGGTCTAGAAGCAGAGGATCCTCCCTCTGACATATCTTCTTAAGGTCAGTAGTAGCATGACGCTGTGTCACAATGCCTGCGTCTTTCACCTCCTTCATCTCATCACGTAGCCATTTTATCATCTCACATCCTCACAAGAAGGAGGAGGGTAAGTGCAGGACAGTCAGGTGTTTTGAGAGCAAGAGAGATAGAACCCACACTCATGGGGCACCTGGGTGGCTCAGTCAGTTGACTGATTTGGCTCAGGTCATGATCTCACAGTCTGTGGGCTCGAGCCCCGCATCGGGCTCTGTGCTGACAGCTCAGAGCCTAGAGCCTGTTTCAATTCTGTGTCTCCCTCTCTCTCTGCCCCTCCCCCACTCTCTCTCAAAATAAAATAAAGACATAAAAAAAAAGAAACCACACTCATATAACTTTTATCACAGTATATTCTTATAATTGTTCTATTTTATTATTAGCTGTTATTGCTAATCTCTTACTGTGCCTAATTTATAAATCAAACTTGGTCCTAGGTATTGTGTATAGGAAGAAATATAATAATGCACCTGTAGTTTCAGGCACCCACTGGGGGTCTTGGAACATAATACCTGCAGATGAGAAGGAGCTATTGCATTCGTAAACCCAAACGTCAAGTTGTACACCTTAAAGATGTACAATTTCTATTTCTCAATCATATGTTGATAAAGCTGAAAATAAGTGAAAATAAAATAAGCCTCAACATAGTTAAGAGAGTTAATATTATATAGATTGGTTTTTATTTTTTTAATTTCTTTTTAATTTGAGAGAGAGAGAGAAAGTGCACGTGAGAGTGAGGGAGGGAGCAGAGGGAGAGAGAGACAGAATCTTAAGCAGACTCCATGCTCAGCACAGGGCCCTATGCAGAGCTCCATCCTACTACCCTAGGATTATGACCTGAGCCAAAATCAGGAATGGGACACCCAACCAAATGAGCCACCCAGGTGACCAATAGACTGGTTTTTAAATCATAACATAATTTATTTTGTAATAAATAACTAAATGATCTCATCATGGTTTGTAAGTTGGAGCCCCAAGTTGAGAGAGAGAGGGAGAGAGAGAGAGAGAGTGAGCAGGAAGGGGCAGAGAGAGAGAGAGGGAAAAAGAGAGAACCCCAAGCAGGCTCCATACTGTCAGTGCACAGCCTGACATGGGGCTTGCACTCATGAACTATGAGATCATGACCTGAGCCAAAATCAAGAGTCAGACTCAACCTACTGAGCCACCCAGGTGCCCCAGGGAACCCTTTCCTTAATTCATACAATGAACAGTAATTGAATGCCTACTTTGTACAAAAAGAAAAATACCAGGCACTGAATGATAGTGTTAAACAAACTTGGTCTCTGTCTTCACTGACTTCATAATTTATTGGTAAAAAGAGAGAAATAAGCATATAAATCAATAATTAAAATGTATGCTATGAAAAGAATCTCCTGGTTGCAATGACAAAATAAAGGTTGGAAGATAAGGTGTCTACATAACATGGTCAGGTAGGACTTCTTTGAAAAAGAGACATTAAGGTAGAGACCAAAGAATGAGGAGGTGCTACCTTGGAGGCGGAGACAGAAGGAACAACGGTGGGATTTTGTTGTAGAACATTCCAAGCAGAGGCGAATGGGATTCAAAAACTTAGGGGATGTAGCTGATTTCTATTGTTGTGTGGAATCTTTGTAACCTTGTTGCTGTTTTCAGTGAGCAAGGCAGTGACAAACTCAAGCCCATTTGGGAAAGAGTGACTGGTATGTTGAAGGACCTTGACATACATGTAGCTTAGTCAGAAGTTCTTCAGCTGGAAGAAAAGATAATCAAGGCAGAACATCAAAGCTTCACTCTAGTATTTGTGAAATTAGAGTTGTAGGGGCTCCAGAAGGTCACTTCAGGGCCAATGCGTGGGAGTGACAAGGATGACTTTCAGATTCAGTTCATGGAAACTAAAGTTTTAACAATTCAGACTGGTACTTTTATTTTGTAAGAAGTCAAACTCCTCAATAGGGAAATTATAAATTAACGTTGGAAACACTAGACAGGAAAATGGTATAATGGCAGGGAAGGAAAAAAGTATATGGATCACCTTTAGGTACTTTTATACTCTGCCTTTTATGTGTAATTTATCTGAGAAATGAGACATTCACAGCCAGCTATAGTGTTCTCACAATACCAACACCAGACTAGGTTGCTCTGTGATCGTGATGTCGTGAGAAAAAAAAAAAAAAGACCCCTTAATCTTGTATAAACATGTACAAAAATGAGATCACCATGCAAACTATAAGAATCTCCTTCTCCTAGCTAATGTGAATGACTCCTGCTTTTTTAAATCAATTACAGCTTTTGCCTGACTTCTAGATAAGATTCATTAAGATGCCCCATCTTAGAATTCTCTCCAGTAACTGACAGGATTCACTCTAGATGAAGCCCTGCTTCCCTGAGCCCAGCGCCCAGATCACCTAACACGGATCCATGAATCCTTTAGAAGTTCCATTCTGACCCCCCCCCCCCTTACGGAAACACTACACAGTCCCCATGATGTGCCGCCCCCCCCCCAACTGCGAGGAGTCAGTAGAGCCCATTTCATTAAACTACAGGTATGTGGACACATTTTAGAACGAATGCAGTTTCTTTTTACATTTATCTCACTTAACCCTCACTGCATATATTTATACACAGGAAAATACAGACTCAAAGACACAAATGACTGCCTAAGGGAAGGTAGGCAGAGAGCGGAGGGAGACAGAAGTACAAGCCTTTAAACAGTCACCACTTGAGACCTTGGTTATGTCTCTTCAACCGCTATCAACATTTCTGAGTTTAGAAGCCATGAACATGGTTCTGAGGTCAGAGCATGGGCACTCACAGCTGTGTGACCTGGGGCACATTCTGAGAGTCTCTGTGCCTTGATTTCCTCAAATGTGAAACAGGAATAGCAAATGCACCAACCTCACAGACTAACTGCAAGGATCATATTAGTGGACACTGTGCTTAGAACGATAAGTGTGACCTAGCAGAGGCTCAGTAAATGGATATTTTATTAGAGCTGTGGTTGAAATGAACGTTTCTGAGGCACCAAAACCTATGCTTCTTCCACTCCCTCCCCGCTCCCCCCAACATGCAGCTCCTATCAGAGAGGCTTCTCGAAGGAAGAGGGATGTAGGGCTGAATGAGGCACATGATTGGGGAAGTAATTGCTTAGAAAGACTTGGGGAAATGCAGTCTATTTGGGCTTGTGAGGTGAGACAGGAAATGCAAGGGTGTGTTGGTTATGGGAAGTGGGGGGTGATAGGGCGGGGCCGTGTTTTCAGAGCCAGAGTCCAAGAGTCTGTGTTCAGAAGTCAGTGGTGATCGGGAGAGGGCTGGGTGTGGAGGGAGGGATGATGAGATAGGGAGTGTTTGGGGAGAGCTTCTCGGAGCCCAGGCAGTAGAAGGCACGTGGCATCTGTCCAAGTGCCCTCCCTGGAGGCTGGCTTGAGCTGATTCTCACCTACTTCTGGGGCCGGAGGTCTCTCCATTGTCTGTGCCCCTTGTGGCCTGAAACAGTCAGGGTTGGCTCAGGGGACCCTGCCCCATGGGGATAGGACTCTGAAGAGGAGGAGAGGCTCCTAGATCCAGTGTTGGTGTCCCACGTATGTCTGAGCCAGGAACGACAGAAGCGGATGTGGGCAATGTTCAGCTGCTGGTAGGTGATCTGAAGGTCACACTAGTTATGCAGATTGGGGAAAGAGGGGAGCCAGAACAAGGGATTTGAAAACAGCTAATATTTTGAAATCGAAGAGCTGGCTTAGAGGAAAGATGATGTAAATTAGGACTTGGAATGTCTGGTTGTGAGAATCATAGACTACCAGATTGGAAGAGACTTTGAAGGCCATCCTGTCCATCGTCCTCTCCATTCAATACTTGAGTTCACTCTACAACTGAGAGTGGCTAACTGTGCTAACAGCTGCTTTGAAAATGTTGAGAGACAGGAAGCTGCCCTGTGTATGCTGCCCCAGACTGGCTATGTGCTGGCGTGGAGAGCAGAAAGTGGCGGGTGGGGGAGGGGTCCTGTGAAAATTATTCATGACACAGGAATGGTGAGTACAAAGATCATGAGGTGTTTTACCATCTCAGAAGCAGACATTTTTTTAAACAATTGTTTTTAGTTTATTTAATGTTGTTTGGTAAAATCTTTTTTTCCCTTAAATAGTTTTTTGTCAAGTTGGTTTCCATATAACACCCAATGCTCATCCCAACAAGTGCCCTCCTCCATGCCCATCACCCCCTTCCTCTCTCTCCCACCCGCATCAGCCCTCAGTTTGTTCTCAGCATTCAAGAGTCTCTCATGGTTTGCCTCGCTCCCTCTCCCCAACTATTTTTCCCCTTCCCCTTCCCCATGGTCCTCCATGAGGTTCCTCCTGATCCACATATATGTACAAACATATGGTATCTGTCCTTCTCTGCCTGACTTATTTCACTCAGCATAACACCCTCAAGTTCCATCATTGTTGCTACACATGGCCAGATTTCATTCTTTCTCATTGCCATGTAGTATTCCATTGTATAGGTGAACCACATCTTCTTGATCCATTCATCCGTTGATGGACACTTAGGCTCTTGCCGTGATTTGGCTATTGTTGAGAGTGCTGCTATGAACATTGGGGTACATGTGCCCCTTTGCATCACCACCCCTGCATCCCTTGGGTATATTCCTAGCAGTGCTATTGCTGGGTCATAGGGGAGTTCTATTGTTAATTTTTTGAGGAACCTCCACACTGTTTTCCAGAAGGGCTGCACCAGTTTACATTCCCACCAACAGTGTAGGAGGGTGCCCATTTCTCCACATCCTCACCAGCATCTAGAGTCCTCTGATTTGCTCATTTTAGCCACTCTGACGCGTGAGGTGGTATCTTAGTGTGATTTTGATTTGTATTTCCCTGATGATGAGGGACGCTGAGCATCGTTTCATGTGTCTGTTGGCCATCTGGATGTACTCTTTGGAGAAGTGTCTGTTTATGCCTTCTGCCCATTTCTTCACTGGATTGTTTGTTTTTTGGGTGTGGAGTTTAGTGAGTTCCTTATAGATTTTTGATGGGAAGCAGACATATTTGAAAAGACTTCACCTAGGGGCACCTGGGTGGCTCAGGCAGTTGAGCATCCAACTCTTGATTTCAGCTCAGGTCATGATCTCACGGTTCGTGGATTTGAGCCCTGAGTCGGGCTCCGAGCTTTCATCATGGAGCCTGCTTGGGATTCTGTCTCCTTCTCTCTCTGCCCACCTTCCAACCCTCTCAAAATAAATAAACATTAAGAAGAAAGAAAAAGGTCAAGACTTCACCTAGAGAGGGCCATATGCAGGCTCTCTAACTGGGGGGTTAAAGACATTTGCTGACATAAGAATTTTAGATCCAGAAGGTGGGTGCTTCTGGAATCATTCTATGTTTGCCATTTGTTGATCCACACATACAGTTGGTTTCAGAAAAGCAAACTGGTGGAAAGACAAAACATCATCAATAACAATTACTTACACACAAAAGATGATTAAAAAATACTTGTTGAATTCAGTTTCTCTGGGTGGGTAAGAGTGATGGGTTCTTCAAAAGGATTACAGGAAGGGATGCAAGAAAAAGCTATGATGGTAAGTTCCTTTAGAAAAAAAATTTAATGTTTATTTTTGAGAGAGAGAGACAGAGTGCAAGTGGGGGAGGGGCAAAGAGAGAGAGATGGAGACACAGAATCTGAGGCAGGCTCCTGTTCCTGAGCTGTCAGCACAGAGCCTGACATGGGACTCAAAACCATGAACTGCAAGATCATGACCTGAGCCGAAGTCAGACACCTAACCAACTGAGCCACCCGGATGCCTCATTAAGTTCCTTTAGATATATGGAGCCCAAGGTGCCAAGGGGACAACAAGAAAGATGTATTCAGGTGCAACTAAAAAATACAAGTTAAATCCAGGCTACAAAAAAAGTTCAGGCACATTAAAAAAAAAAAAAACATTAACGAGTTCATAGGTTTGTGCTTGTTATTCTGAGCATTGGTACAATAGTTAATGAAGTACTACATCTACTCTCAAGGATCATACCAATTTGTGGGAAAGAACACACTCATTATAAAGGGAATACAGTATGTTTAGTGGGCACTCTAAACATTATGAGGACATAGAAGAAGGAACACGTAACTTTTTCCGAGGGAGTCAGGAAAGGCTTCACTGAGGAATTGACACTGGACCTAATTTTGAAGGATGAGAAGCAGGAGCCAGATGGAGAAAAAAGAGAGAGGGGCAAACCAGAAGGAAATGGTTAGGAGGGTCACAGAAGTCAGAAATGCAATAAAGCAAAGATTTCCGTTTTAACATTATTTGTCTCCTATAATTAGAGCAGTGAATGCACATTTCCTGTAGATACAAGAGATTCAAGAAGAGTGCCTTAAACACTAATTGCTTGACTCACTTGAGCATTTTAAAATCTCAAACTCAGGAGTTTATTTGCAGTGCAGGGCCTTGGGTTTGGGAGTAACGTTTGGGTGTGAGTGAGTGGTATGAGCTGAAGAGATAGTGGAGGGGCTCTACTAATTATTATTTTAATTAGATTGATTAAAAAAATCGGTTTGACTACCTTGAATGTGAAAACCATTGTACCAAGTGTGAAGACTGCAAAAGTAAGACACAGCAACTTGTCTATACAGAAGCTAGAATTTGGACAGCCCTCTACAGACACGCCATGACCTATACAGGATATGACATGGCTGACACTGGCTACCATTTTATGCATTTACAGTCATATTGTTTGTGATGTTTTGTGTTGGTAGTTTCTTTTCTTCTCTCTCTCTCTCTCTGTTTTTCTGTCTCTCTCTGTGCATCTGCTTTACACTGTGCTTGAAAACAATTAGAATGTGCAACACTTTTTTAGTATGAAATTTCACCAAGCCAGCTATGTAGTCCCAGTCTCCAGTTATACAATCCATTTTGTGAAAATGAAGGATGCATATTTCCTGCTACTTGATCGGTTCTTTTGGGGTCTGTAGTCTCTCACCGGATTTGTGAACCACCCCACTCATCTTTCTGCCAGAAACACCCACAAGGCAAATTCATACCTTTGTCTCTGCACTTGGGGTTAGAATAGTGAAATATCAGCGATGATTTAAAAACTGCATCTGATTGTGACAGCCATCTGGCGGACTTTCTTCCTAAGGTGGTAAAGTCCCAAGTCACTGGGTGAACGTCTCCAGTTGCCTCACTACAGAGGGGTACACACATCTCCCTAAGTCCATCTCTTTCCTGCTCAGCACTTGCCCATGTACTTTTTATCTGAAATGTCTATTTTGTTCATTTATCTAACTAACTGCTACTGCTCCTGGAAAGTTCTGGAGATTCCTCCTCTGAGAAGCTTCTCAGTCACCCTGGTCTGAGAAACGAGCCCCTTCCTCAGCACCTCAGGTGCTCTGCACTTCACAGATTATACCAAGATGACTAACTGGTGCGTCTGCTTCCCCTCTGAGGCTCTCGGCCTTCAGTGGACAAGGACCGAACTTTGTTGAAGTCGTATCCTTACGCCCGACACGTAGGTGTTTGATAAGTGCTTGTAGAGGTGAACTGATCAGTAGGATTGCTACGGCATTAATCTCATGTACAAAACTCACCTCTTGAATTTGCCTGAAAGAAACACGATGACCTGGGGAAGAGGGTAGAAGGTTTGGGGAAGGCCACATTGTGAAGCAATAAACAGCACCGAGGGCATGGGTTCAAATTCTGTCTCCGAATTTGACATGATGTCTGTAAGAAATAAGAGAGTTTCATAATCTCACCATTCTGTCTGTTCTTGAAATTTCTCATCTGTAAAATGGGTATAACAATGGTATTTGGGGACACCTGGGTGGCTTAGTCAGTTACGGGTTCGGCTTCAGTTCAGGTCATGAGCTCGTGGTTTGTGGGTTCGAGCCCTGCGTCGGACTCTGTGCTGACAGCTAGCTCAGAGCCTGGAGTCTGTCTTCGGATTCTATGTCTCCCTCTTTTTCTGTCCCTCTCCTGCTCAGCTGTCTCTCTCTCTCTCTCAAAAATAAATTAAAAAAAAAAAACATTAAAAAAAACAATGGTATTTGCCTCACGGCTTGTGTGAAAATTAACATGGTGACTACAAAACACTTGTAAAAATGCTCGATGCCTGGTGAGTGTTAACTGTTGTTGCCTTTAGAAAAGTATTCCCAGTAGCAGCAGTAAGAGTAATAAAATTCTGCCTTTAAATAACTTTAAAGTAAACAATAAAGAGAAATGAAGTGTTGAGTTGGGTTCGGCAATCACCTCCACTCAGTCGTTTCTCCTTCCCTTCCCCACCCCAGCCTTCCATGGAACGGCGCAACCATTCGAGCCTGGCTGAGTTCGTGTTCCTTGGTTTTCCCAATGTGGGACATGTTGGGGGCTGGCTTTTTGCCCTGCTGCTGTTGGCGTACCTGTTCACTTTCTGTGGCAACATGCTCATCTTCTTAGTCATACGACTGGACGTTGCCCTGCACACACCCATGTACCGCTTTGTCAGCATACTTTCCTTCTTGGAACTGTGGTATACAGCCACCACCATCCCCAACATGCTCGCCAATCTTCTCCGTGAGAAGAAGACCATTTCTTTTGCAGGATGCCTCCTTCAGACCTACTTCTTCCACTCTCTAGGGGCCTCTGAATGCTACCTTCTTACGGCCATGGCCTATGACCGATACCTGGCCATCTGCCGGCCCCTCCACTACCCTGCAGTTATGACCCCAACACTCTGTGGCAAGTTGGCTGCCAGTTGTTGGACTTGTGGCTTCCTGTGTCCCATTTCTGAGGTCATCCTGGTCTCCCAGCTCCCCTTTTGCGGCTATAATGAAATTCAACACATCTTCTGTGACTTTCCACCTCTGCTGAGCCTGGCCTGCAAGGACACATCCACTAATGTCCTTGTGGACTTTGCCATCAATGCCTTCATCATCCTTGTCACCTTCCTCTTTATTATGGTCTCTTATGGAAGAATCATCGGTGCTGTTCTGAAGATAAAAACAGCTGCAGGAAGAAAGAAGGCTTTCTCTACATGTGCCTCACATCTCACTGTGGTTCTTATTTTTTTTGGGAGCATCATCTTCATGTATGTGCGCCTGAAGAAGAGCTATTCCCTGACCCTTGACCGGACGCTTGCTGTAGTCTACTCTGTACTAACACCACTGGTCAACCCAATTATCTACAGTCTTCGTAACAAGGAACTCATTAAGGCCATCAAGAGGACCATCTTCCAGAAGGTGGGAAGGACTCACCCTTGACTCTCTACCAAGGTCCTTCTTCTACTTCAGTGTTGGCTTCATAAAATTTTTATGTACCTTGGTCCTGGCCATGAATAATCTTCCCATTATCACACATGCTTATGGATCTCATCAACTCTTGCCTTCTCAAAGTAGGTTTTTCTTTTATTTCCTACATCTTTATGTTTTCCATTTTTTCCATGTTTTCCATCAGTACTTTCAGCACATAAGAATACTTTAGAATCTTCCTTCTTAGAAACAAGCACACATATTACCTTGGGCGTACATTCTCAGCCAGTCCATTCCTTGGGCATACATTCCCAGACCCTATTAAGGTCTATTTCCTTAATGCTCTCATTTCCAATTAAACTTCTCAACATGATTAATGACACAATTTACCTCCTCTTCTTCACTTCCTACACAGTTTGCAACCCATTGCAATCTGGCTTCGACTCAGACCTTTCGAAAAATATTTTGCCAAGATCATCGATGAACTCCATGCTGTAAAATCCATTCGACTCTTGTCTTTCCTCTTTCTTATTTACATATTTATTTATTTATTTATTTATTTAAATCCAAATTAGTTAACATATAGTGTGATAATGAGTTCAGGAATAGAATTTAATGGTTCATCACTTACATATAATACCCAGGGCTCATCCCAACAGTACCCTCCTTAATGCCCATACCCCCACCCCCACCCCTCCAGCACCCTCAGTTGATCCCTGTATTTAAGAGTCTCTTATGGTTTTTCTCCCTCTCTGTTTTTATCTTATTTTTGCTTCCCTCCCTTATGTTCATCTGTTTTCATCAATTCCACATATAAGTGAAATCATATGATATTCATCTTGAACTCTTGATACACATGACCAGTTCTTTAAAAAGTTTGTCTCTTCCTTTCAATTGCATCAATATCTCTTGATTTTCTCCTTCCTCATTGAGTCCATCTTTCTGGGGTTTTTTTGTTTGTTTTTTGTTTTTTGTCCTATCTTACTTGATGCTTGAGTTATTCTTATGGCTTTCAATTTCCTACCTTAAAGTACCAGAGCTCTTTAAGTTCATAAGTCTTTAAGCTCATAAGTCTTGTACGGATCCAAGAACTTTGTACTGTTTTCTTACCAACACTTCATTTGGTTCACTCCTTTTCATTGTGTGAGCTTCTATTCAAATGTCACTTTCAAGTGACATTAACTTTTAGAGAACTTCTTGAACCCCCACCTAATGTATGTTACTCATTTTTTTCTCTTTTGAATTATGTTTGTTTCCTTCAAAATATGTATCACAACTTATGTGTATATGTAGATAGATAGGTATAGACATTGTATAGTATTGTATAGATATTACTTGTCATTCTTTCCTACAAGCCTATCAACTGCATTTGGTCTGAAATCATGTCAGTTTTGTTACTCACTGTTTGTCCAGAATCTAACAAGTGTTGAAATGTGCTGAGTATCAATAAAAATGTCAAGAAAGAGAAATGTAATGAATCTTACCCACTCCTATCACTCACACATTTCGATCCCTACTTTGGTCACTCCGGGAACCCACTTGTTTTTAGAATGCTTTGATCCACACCAGTTGAATTCACCCTTGTCTCTTATACAACCAGCCTCGACTTGTTGGTACCTCTGCTATTTAACACTTTTTGGCTAATAACCGACAGCTAACCCATATTAACCACTAACTGTATGCTGCTCTCAGTTATTTCTCTGTATCTCTATTTTTTTATTCACGAATTGTGGTGGGTAAGTTAGCTAGCTTTAGGTGATGTTCACTGCTAACATTATACAGATCTAAGGCCCCATTTAATGCTTTACTTTTTTAAATGTTCTTTGGGGGCCCAGAATTCCAAGACTTGCAATTTTTCACAAACTAAGAGGGTTTTTTTTTCTGAGTCACAAATTTTCCAGAGTCTTTTAAGATTCCTCATACATTTATTAAATTTTCTATGTATTCAAAAAATTACTTCAAATATAAGACTTTTATTAGCCATGCAGATTAAATGAACACAGTAGCTATTTTTCGTATGCTCATCATATGGATATGAAGTTACAAAAATTATATATATATACATATATACTATATATATATATACATATATATGTGTATATAGTATGCAAACATATAAACATGCATATATATGTAACTTTCAAAACTCCTTGGAACAAAGAAGGAAGAAATCACCCTCATTTCTATATGAGATTGCTTTAGTATTTCTTTACCTATATTTTAATGTCTCTCCTTTCCTATTTCTGTATCCATTTTTCTCTCTATTTTACTGTGTATTACAGCTATTATTTCTCTAAATGGTTCTTAATGGAGAGGAGAAAGCTTTCACACTATCCTTTCCTATTTCCTACTTCTGAGAAAGGCAATATCTTCCTTCTTTCTCATACATCTCCTCCGTGCTTACTTTAAATATAGCAGAACCAAAATTTCCATGGAAATTTTGAAGAGAAACTAGAGAAGACAACACTCTCTTTTCTTCTGGCCTGTTTCCTACTTTGTTTTACACCCCCTATCTGATTTTTGTTTAAATTCTGCTACACTCTAGTAAATTATGCACCACGTGCAGCTACTGTTTTTAGAACCACAACTCTGGTATTACACAGAACTCACAACCTGGCTAAGAAATGAAAACGTGTAAGCTAGATGGTAGACTACTGATATTAAAAGACATTGAAATATACATATAGAGAACTGTACAAAACATAAATGTGCCTCTCAGTGAACTTCCACAGATTAATAAACTTTTATGTAAGGAGCATTCACAACACAATGTTGGAGACATCTCCAAAATTTTCCCCACACTCCTTTCTGTCCAACACAACGCCTCTCCTGCCCCGTGAGTAACTGACAACCTGACATCTAATACTATAGGTAGATTGTACATATTCTGGTATATTATAGAAATTGGTTCATATAATTTACACTTTTTTGTTTCTCGTTTCTTTTACTCAATATCAAGTTTACAAGATTCACCTCCATTGTCTTATTTTGCTGTAGTTCTTTTGTTTACATGGCTGTTGTAGGATATACCACAATTTGATGTTAGTTATTTGTCTTATGCCATTTCTCATGCCCTTCATTTCTTCGTGTGGTTTGACATTTCTATCTAGTATTGTTTCCTTCTGCGTGAAGAGTTTTCTTTAATATTTCACGTAATGCATGTCTACTGACAATAATTTCTTTCATTCTGTTCCTGAAAATGTCTTTATTTCACCTCTTTAAAAGTGTTTATTTTCTTTACTGTGATAGAACTTGTATGTCATATAGTTCACCTATTGATTCAGTGATTTTTAATATATTTGCAGACTTGTGCAACAATCACAGCAATCTAACTGTAGAATATTTGCATCACCCTATCCTCCCCTGAAACCTTACCCCAGGCATTTGCATATTCTGGCCTTTGCATACAAATGGAATCATACAATTTGTCTTCTTTTTTCAACAAGCTTCTGTCACTTAAAACAAGGTTTTCAAAGTTCATCTATGCTGTAACATAGATTTCAATCTCTCCACATCAATACCTAAGTTAAATGCTTACATTTAATGCTAAATAATATTCCATTGTATGGATATACCATATTTTATTTGTCCATTCATCATTTGATGGACATTTAGATCATTTCCACTTTTTGACTATTATAAATAGTGTTTCTGTGTATGAACTCTACTTCCGTTCTCATGGGTTGACATACGTAGAAGTGGAATTACTGGGTCATATGGTGACAGTAGATTTAAATTTTTGAGGGGCACCTGGGTGGCTCAGGCGGTTAAGCATCTGACTTCGGCTCAGGTCATGATCTCACGATTCATGGGTTCGAGCCCTGCGTTGGGCTCTGTGCTGACAGCCAACTCAGAGCCTGGAGCTTATTTCAGATTCTGTGTCTCCCTCTATCTCTCTGACTCTCCCCTGCTCACGCTGTCTCTCTCTCTCTCTCTGTCTCTCAGAAATAAATAAAACATAAAAAAATAAAAATAAATAAAATAAATTTTTGAGAAACTGTTAAATTGCTTTCCAAAGTGACAGCATCACTTCACGTTCTCATCAGCAGTACTGAGGGTCCTATGTTTTTGTATCTTTACCCCCATTTATGACTGTCTGTCTTTTGATCATGGTCATCTCAGTGAGTGTGAGGAGTCAGATGAGGCAAGATGTGGCCTCTTCCTATGAAATACAGGAAATTTAACACTCCGTTGGGCACCCAATGTTGTATAAATGTCTGGAAGAACAACTGAGATTTAAATCCAAAATCCTGAAGCAGGGCTCTTTTTTGGGAGAGATAACAGGAGAGTAGAGGGGTGGCTCCTGTGTGTAAGAGAAGATAAAACCACTGCAGGTAGGAGCAAAGGGCAGGATTAAAAGTCTGCTTTGAGTGTTGTGTCCTCAGCCCACCTCTGTCTTCACTCAGGGTCCAAGAGGCCAGTCACAGTTTAGAAAGACCCTATTGTCTTGGGGCGTCTGGGTGGCTTAGTCAGTTAAGCGTCCAACTTTCGCTTAGGTCATGATCTCGCAGTTCGTGGGTTCGAGCCCCGCATCAGGCTCTGTGCTGACTGCCAGCTCAGAGCCTGGAGCCTATTTCAGAGTCTGTGTCTCCCTCTCTCTCTGACCCCCCCCTGCTCACGCTGTCTCTCTCTCTCTCTCTCCTAGAAATAAAAAAATAATAATAATAAAAAAGAAAGACCCTATTGTCATCGGAAGGTGTGTGCTTTCTCGCAAGAACCTGTCTGCAACCCAGACTCCCACCCCAATTCCTATATTGTGTTGAACAAAATCAGTGCCCTGAGAGATGTTCTACCTCAATCCGGGCAAGTAGTTACTAGTTTTGAAGTGAACTCACAGGTGATGAAGCACCCCTGGCTACTGAACTTCCTGTGTCTCAGTTCCCTTCATGAGAAAACACTTTAAAAGTCCCAGGAGGGCTGCTCCAAAGGCCCAGGGGTGTCTGTCTCTATGAGGACTTATCAAGGACACAGGTCACGAGAGAGGAGTTTCTCATGCTGTGACGGATTCCCATGGGGCCCATCAAAGTGCTCCACTACCTCCAGCCCCAGGAGTGCCCCATGTGACCATAAATGAGAAGGGGAGAAAGTGAGCAGAGAGCTTTCTCCCAGCTCCACACTCTGAGCAGTGACCGGACTGCCCATGGTAAGCCCTGCAGAGCCCTCCCCACCAGAGCTCTGGGTAAGGATGCTGTGGCTCAGGCTCGTTTGCCCTCATGTTCTTTTCTGGTTGGAGCACTGGGAAGCAACTAAGGGAATTCAGAAATAGGAAGGAGTATAGGATAATTAGGGTCCACAGATATATCATTCAGAACACAAAACGTATGTAAAATAAAATACACAGATATTCTGCCTTCCTAATGTTATCATACAGTCTAGGCACAAGCCATCTCCCTTGTCTGGGTCCTGGTTTCCTCTTTTGCACAGTGAAGACAGAATGAGATGACCTAAAATTGCATCCCCTCCGAACCCAGCTCTTTGGCCCTATGCCTAAATAACCAGGTACCATGGATAATGCAATGGTGAGAACTAGAAAATAGAATGAAAAAGATTTGTTCTAAAAGCATTTTGGAGTAAGAGGAGCATGGTACGGTTGCAAAGGATCCACGTAAAATAAATGCCAATTTATACATGAGGTGTATGAGCGATCTGATTCTAATATCAGGAAACTGAAGGGAGGAGATGGTGGACTAAGAATCTGGGCATGTCATCCTGATCGCCATTAAGGTTTTCATTTTCCACCACAACTGTGAGGCATCAGGCACTGTGCCAAGTCCTCTGAGAGGTGGGGCACAATGTGAGATTTCTTTAGTTTCAAAAACCTCAGAGAAAGTTGCTTTGGAATAAGATAATGAATGGAAAATACTGCAGCACGTGACAGGGTGTAGTTGGAGGCAAAGTGAAGAAAGACTACTGGGAATTCAGACGTGGGGGAGACTGGTGTTCATCGCAGATAGTCAAGGAAAGACAGTGGTGGACTTGACCCCAAAACGGCTCAGGAAGAAATGTGTTCTTGGGAGGATGCACTGCAAATAAAAAGATTAAACCTAAGTACAGAAACCCATTTGGCAAACAGTGAAATTTCTATGATGATGATGAAAACAGTGTCTAAACCATGAATCTGGACCAGAACCTCTGGGATTTTCCATAAGCAGAACTGGTGATAATGGGTGAATCTCAGACTTCAGGTCAATGGAAGGACTCAGTTTATAGACTGAAACTCTTCAACAGACAGAATTGTCTTATGGGGCAAGAAGCTTCAGCCTCCTTATTATTTTTTTGCTTGTGGTGGTTTTAAAAGATCTTTTTATTTTTATGAACTGTTGGGAATATCTGATACAGTTGAGATATTTTTCACAATCCAATGAAACCCAAGATTATGGGAGCTACAGAGAATTGATGTTTCCTAAAGTTTCTTCCAACACAAACTCAATATCTCTCAGTTTTGGAAGGTTAAGAAGGTGTGGGGTTAAGAAGGTGTGGGGTTCTAGTTTCAGGGAGAGATAATGTTTGTCCTGGTTGTGCTGACTTTGATTTCCAGGGAGTAAATAATAACAGGACATCAGTGAGCTGAGGAACAATGTACAGTAGTCCCCCTTATCTCTAGGGGATACATTCCAAGACTCCCAGTGATGCCTCAAGCCAGAGATAGTCTTAAATCCTACATATATTATGTTTTTTCTATACACACATATCAATTATAAAGTTTAATTTATAAGTTAGAGTTAAATTTGTAATTTATAAACTAGTAAGAATTAACAACAATAAAAGAAAAACAATTATGACAATATACCATAATAAAAGTTATGTAAGTGTAGCTTTTCTCCCTCTCAAAATATCTTACTGTACTATACTCACCCTTCTTGTGATGATGTGAGATGACAAAATGCCTATGTGATGAGATGAAGGAGGTGAATGATGTAGGCATTGTGACATAGCGTTAGTCTACTACTCACCTTCTGAGGATACGTCAGAAGGAGGAACATCTGCTTTCAGATTGCAGTTGACCGCAGGTAAGTGAAACTGTGGAAAGACAAACCATGTGTAAGGGGACTATTCTATAGCTTGAGACTAACTCTTTGGAGGCATGTGGAAACCTTACCCTCTGAGGAAGGAAAGGAAGACATTGCCTTCCAGTATTCAACTTTGAGGCCAGCCCCCATATATCTGGAAGTTTAGTTAAGGTCACTAAACAGCTCATCTGTGAGAGGGCTTTGCAGGCCAGAGATGGAGCAGAAACTTTACATTTATACTTGAAGGGGAAGGAATGTAAAAAGTCTAGAATAAATATGATCTGAGTTGGATAGAAATGTTGGGATAATCTTTTGTAGGAAACGCATCTGCATTGGACAATGGGCAGATATAGATTTGAAGCAAGGAAAACTAAGGCAAAGGGAAAATATCTAATATTAAGATTGTTATGAAGGTTTTCCTGAAGCAAATCCCTCAAGGATCCTGCCCAGAAATGGTCCTCCGATATCTTGATAGAGAACATTCTAACTGTGGAATGAGAAAGCTGTTGGCACAAGAAGAAAGCATGTTGCCTGGGTTTAGAAGTCAGTGCAGCTGGGAGCAAGCAGAGTAAATAATGTGGGTTTGGTTGGGATGAGAGGGAAGAAGTGATAAAAAGCTTGGTGAACAGAAAGAGGAGACTGGATGTGTTTGTAATACTGCCTTTGAACAAGTGTTCCTTTCTGCCTAGAATATTTTTATTGCATTTTTTTCCCACCTGGCAATTCTGACACTTTCTTTACTTCAAATAACAATGATGTCTTCTGGGACGCCTTGATGGCTCAGTTGGTTGGGCATCCAACTCTTAATTTCAGCTCATGTCATGATCTCATGGTTCATAAGATGGAGCCCTATGCCAGCATGGAGTCTGTTTGGGATTCCCTCTCTCCTTCTCTCTGCCCCCCTCTTCCGATAAGTAAACTAAGAAAAAAAATTATGTCTTCTGTGAGGTGGTCCTGACCTCCACTTCCAGCCCATGGCTCATTCATGGCTCCTTCCACATATGCAAATAAGAAGTTAGTTACATGACCCAATTTGCTTATTCATGTAACAAATATTGATCAAATCATTATCATGGTCTAGACCCAGCTGTAAGCACCTGAGATTCATCAGTGAACAAAACAGAAAATCTCCCTGCCCTCTTGGAGATAGTGTTGTCACAAGGGAGAAAACCACAAATAGTTGAGATGACAAGTAAGCTCCTTTGTATCGCTAGGACGTGTGAGTACCATGGGAAGGATTAAATGTGGAGTACAAAAGGTGGTGCTGGGACAGGACCTGGGTGTGGGGAAGGAGGGAGACCCTGGTTCTGTTTAGGTCGGTTCAGGCAGAGCTGCTGGAGGGTTCATCTATACAAAGGCTCTGAACAAACGGAGAAGCTACCCAAGGAGCCATTTGGCAGAAAACGACTCTAGGAAGAGAAAACTACAACAAAGACTATAAGCTGTCATGTCACTGAAGAGGTGTGAGCAGGGAAAGCAAGACCTGACTTGAAACGAAAAAGATAATTGTGGCTGCAGTGTCGAGGTCAGGCTAAAATGGACAAGCACAAATAGGCTCTGTTAGGTGTCCATTACAATGATGAAGGTGAGCAATGTCATGGCTCAACTCCAGTGAAAAATAGATCCTGGATTTGACAGAAATACGGAAGCAATGACAACCGTGAGAATTTGGGTTCATGAGCTACAAGGCTGTGACTGTCCATATGGGAGAGGGGAAGCCTAGAAGGGGAGACAATGTTGTCTGGGGAGTCGATTTACAAAGCTGTCAACATCTATGGTGTTTTCAGCCATGACACTGGATGGCACCGACAAAGGAGTGAGTTTACAGAGAAAGGAAAAAAGAAGAATCTACACTGACCTCTGTGAATTATAAAGGCAGGTCAGAGAGAAAGACCTAGCACAGGAAGTACGAGGGAGGGGCCAGTCAAGAAGGAAGAAGCTGAATGATGGCAGTCTGATAGGAAGATGGAGCCCTGAAAACCAATAAGGAGAGGGTGTCAAGGGGCAGGACAGGGACCTCTGTGAAGGTCGGAGGATAGCCTGGGCAGGCTAAAGAGTGGGAACTGGATTTAGCAAATATGGGATAACTTATGTGTGGGAGGAGGAGTGAACTGATGGAGTGTTAGGTGGTGAAGGTCTGATTGGAAAGGTTTAAGAGAAGACTGACCAGGAGGAATTAGAGTGGAGGCAGCTCTTTGGGGAACTGTTGTTGCAGGAACAAGGGAGGAAACAGACCAGTGGCTCTGGGATAAGTGAGTCAAGAAAAGGAATTCGGGGGGCTTGTATTTTACTTGTTAAACAAGTGAGAATAGGAGCATGTTTCTATGATGATGGAGTGTTCCATTACACGGCTGTTAGCAATGAGTGACTTCTCCATTTTCTCTATTAGAATATCAATCTCCTAACTTCAGGTGTCATATTTTGCTTAATGGTTTAACTCACATTCGAAGACTAATGACTCCAATACAAAAAATGTTCAATAAGTTTTTGTCACTTGACCTCACAGTACAATTTAAATATTTACCATCTAAGAAGCAATAAATCAGAAAAGCATACTTGAAGTTGGTGGAGGAGGCAAGTGGAAGAAAGAACTGATGAAGTGGCCACAGCTTGAGATAGAAATGCAAAGACGTAGATTTGCCTCCTTGTTTTCTGTGGCTCTTATATTTATTCAAACCCCCTTCACCTTGACTGAGACTCACACCAGTGTCCAAGAGAGGTGAAACCCTGACCTACCTGCTTCTGGAGGATGTTGCAGGTAGACCTGCAGTCTCCATTAGGAAATGAGAGGGAGCCAAGGATGAAAGGGCTGATTCTTTGGTATCCAGAAATTTGAGGAAGAAAATAAATTGAAATTACAAATCAAAATATATAACTGAAAATATGTAACCTTGGTTGAGTACACTACAAATGTTTTATCAGTATAAATGATAATTTATACCTTAGACAAGGAATATAGACAAATAATAAGATAAACCTTGGAGGAGGAATACTTAAGTTTCCAAAACCTATATAGTTTCCATTAAGCAAGGTAATTGGGTTATAGGATGGATTATGGTGGCCAAAAAAAATGGGCTGTGATATAAGAGAAGGACTTAGAGTCAGGTTATAAGAGCAAGAAGAAACTGAGGGCAGATGGGGTGGGGGAGAGGGGAAGGGGGAGATGGGCATGGAGGAGGGCACTTGTGGGGATTAGCACTGGGTGTTATATGGAAACCAACTTGACAATAAAGTATTTAAAAAATTAAAAAAAGAGCAGATACTCTGAAGGAAGCTGCTGACTATGGTAAGGGCTAGGAAGGGATCGAAACTCTGGCCTCTTAAATTATTTGCTGGGAGGTAGCAGAGGGAAGACAAAGTCCTTTGAGGGATCTTGTTCTTAGGACTTCTGTGGTTCAACTTTCTACCTCATCCTTCCATGCCTTCCATTCTAGGGGCACGAATGGTGAGCCATGGACAGTGGGAATTGGAGCCAGGTAACAGAGTTCATCATCTTGGGCTTTCCCCATCTCCAGGGTATCCAGACTTACCTTTTTGTCTTGTTACTTCTAATTTATCTCACCACGGTACTGGGAAACCTGCTGGTATTCCTAGTGGTCCGCCTGGACTCCCGACTCCACACACCCATGTACCACTTTGTCAGCATTCTCTCCCTACTGGAGCTTGGCTACACAGCAGCCACCATCCCCAAGATGCTATCGAACCTGCTCAAGGAGGAGAAGACCATTTCTTTCTCCGGATGCCTCCTGCAAATCTATTTCTTTCACTCTCTTGGGGCTACTGAGTGCTACCTCCTGACAGCTATGGCTTATGACAGGTATTTAGCCATCTGCCAGCCCCTCCACTACTCCACCCGCATGACCCCAGCACTCTGCGCCAAAGTCACTGTTGGCTGTTGGTTGGGGGGCCTGGCTGGGCCGGTGGCTGAAATTTCCTTGGTGTCCCGCCTCCCTTTTTGTGGCCCCAATCGCATTCAGCACATCTTCTGTGATTTCCCTCCTGTGCTGAGCTTGGCTTGTACTGACACATCTATTAACGTCCTAGTGGACTTTGTCATCAACTCCTGCAAGATCCTGGCCACCTTCCTATTGATCCTCAGCTCCTATGTCCAGATCATCCGCACGGTGCTCAGGATTCCTTCAGCTGCAGGCAAGAAGAAGGCCTTCTCCACATGTGCCTCCCACCTGACCGTGGTTCTCATCTTCTATGGGAGCATCCTCTTTATGTATGTGCGGCTGAAGAAGAGCTACTCACTGGACTATGACCGCGCCCTGGCTGTGATCTACTCGGTGCTCACACCTTTCCTCAACCCCTTCATCTATAGCTTGCGCAACAAGGATATTAAGGAGGCTGTGAAGAGGCAGTTGAGGAGATCAGGGATACTTATTGAAGTGAAGGTGGGGAAGGCAGGCCAAGGAGGGGGATGAGGTATGGGGACTCTGGGGATCATCAATCACCACAGATGAGAAATCAAGCATTGAGTGCTTTTCTACATGGGATACAGAACTGGAGTAAGTGTTTCCTGGATCTCGGTGTCTATGTAACCACCATACTGGAGCCACACGTGGCCAGAGACCAGAGACTGGAATATGGTTTTCAAATCTCGGATGCTTGTATGCCATACGTAGGAATTTTGTCACATCTGGGCCTTACCTACTATACATATGTATACAGTAAATTTGATATATATTTAATGTAAATACATTTAGTCATATTCTAAACAATAATATTGAGATAAATTTTAGAACAAAAAATAACTGCTTTTTTTCATGTACCATTTACAATCAAATGGTATTTCATGTATACCAATTTTTTGTGTATTGAAATGGAAAATACCAGTGTAGTAGAGGAAAGCATGTTTTTGACTATATACATGTGGGTTTAAATCCTAGTTCATTCAGTTACTAATTGATTATATGATCTTTATCGAGTAACTCAAACCCTCTGAGTCTTAATTTACCCATGTGTTAAAAATATTTTTTGAAGGTTGCTTTGTGAATTAGTGATAAGGTCTGTACACACAGACAAAGTGTCTGGCATAAAACTGATAGCAAAATATATATGTATATGGACATGTGCATGGCTCTGTTGGTTGAAAGTCCGACTGTGGCTCAGGTCATGATCTCATGATTTGTGAGTTCAAACCCCACATCAGGTTTGCTGCTGTCAGAGCAGAGCCCGCTTTGGATCCTCTGTACCCGCCCCCCCTGCCCCTTCCCTACTCATGCTCTCTCTCAATACACACACACACACACACGCACACATCTTTTGTATTCCCTCCTGTGCTGAGCCTGGCTTATACTGACACATCAACGTCTTAGTGGACTTTGTCATCAACTCCTGCCAGATCCTGGCCACCTTCCTGTTGATTCTCGGCTCCTGTGTCGAGACCATCCACATGGCAGATATGCTGCAAACCTCTCTTCATTACTCTTAGCCTTAGAATGATATCCAGGAAAATATAATTAAGCAAAAGTACTTCCCAGATACTTTCCCCCAAAGGACAAGAATAAGGGAGCCAGCAGATGTACTTGAGAGGTGGGCTAGCTCATTGCATTTGGGTTCTGTGCATGTCAGTCTTTGTGACCTTGACATCCGTTCACAAGGACAGTGCAGGAGTCGAACAGCTGGCAAGAAATAGGGTTACATTTTACATTGGACTTCGTCTTTATTCTATTTCAAGCTAATTAGTTCCTTAGACATATGAAAATATGTGAAAACTAATCCTATAGTTTAGCATATGACATATATGGTAATTGAATTATTAGCCAGTGTTAGAGGTTATCATGCATCTGAATGCCTACTGTGACTAGGAAGTCAAACATTGGCTATTAAGAAAACTGGCACTTTTATAGAACTTTTTACAAAAATCCCTAAGTGTTTATATTCATACCATCTTAAAGGTACCCATCCAGCCAGCCATCTTTTCCATCCAGCACATGTTTATTTAGCTCTGACTATACATCAGGTGACTGATAAGGCCATAGAAGGGTGAACAAAACAGATACTGGCCATTTCCTGCCCTTAAGCTGGTTGGAAAGAGTTGAGAATATAGATATTAAAATTATAATTGATTTATACTTAGTTACAGTTAGTTAATTAAAATTGTGGTAATTAGTAATAAATACACATACACCCTCTTCTTGAGGAGGTTACACTGAAGATGCAAACTGAAAGATAAATTAGAATCAGCCATTTCATCAAGGCAATGATTGTATCTATTTCATAAAATTGGAAATCGAGACCCTGGTAGATGGAACAACTTGCCGACACTACAGAACAATTCACTCGGGGACTTTGACTAAGAAAACAAAATCTTCAGCCTCCCAGTTAGGTCCCTCTCATCTTTAAAAGGTCCAGGAAAGCACAGGAAAAGGAGAAAAGATGAAACTACCAGTTGAAAGAGTTGATAGCCAGGTTCTGGGCCTGGAAACAAGCAGAGAGTGACAGCCAGGACATCGGCACTTGAGGACACCTGTCCCTTGAGCCAGGACATCGGTACTTGTAGAGGCAGGTATGAAAGTAGGTCTCCCCTTCAAGAAAATGAAGGACAACTCATAGAACAGGAAAAATTATTTGCAAACCCTGTATCCAATAAGGGACTTGTTTCTAGCAAGTATAAAGCACCCTTACAGCTGAGTAATAAAAAGGCAAATAACACAATTGAAAAATGAACAAATGATCTGAGTAGACACTCGTTCAAAGAAGACATGCAAGTGGCCAGCATGAAAAGTGCCCAGCATCATTAGTCCTCGGGGAAATGCAAATCAAACCCACAATGAGATTCCACTTCACACCCACTAGGATGGCTAGTGTCAAAGGGTTGGATAACCACATATGCTGTGTGTATGCAGGGGGACCAGTACCCTCACACATGGCTCGTGGGAACAGAGAGCGATGTAACCACTTTGAAAAACAGCCTGGGGTTTCCTCCGAAGATTAAACATAGAGTTGTCACATGACCCAGCAATTCGAATTCTGGGTGTATATCCAAAAGAAATGACAATAAATGTCCACATAGAAACTTGTGCATGAATATTTATGGCAGTATTATTTCTAGTAGCCAAAACAGAAAGACCATCCAGATGTCTATCGATGGAGAACTGAATGAACTAAACATGTACATTTCTAAACATTGGAATATCTTCATATATAACAAGCAATGAAGTCCCCATACATACATAGCGCAGAGGAATTTTGCAAGTATTACTCTACGTGAAAGAAGCCAGACACAACAAAGGCCACATACTCTGTGATATCGTTCATCTAAAATACCCAGAATAGAGAAAGCATAAAGCAACAACTAGATTAGTGGCAGAAGTGTGTGCTAGGGGGCAACTGGGTAAGGGGTGGTGATAGCTAAAACATACAGAGTTTCTTTCTGAGGTCTTTAAACATTTCTAAAGTTGATTGTAGTGGTGGTTGCAGCATCTGTGAATATATTAAAAGATATTAATATATTAATTATTTTAATAATATAATAATAATTAATATATTAATTAATTATTAATTAATATTAATTAATATATTATATATTAATTATAATATAATAATTAATATATTAATGTATTTAATTAAACATGTATTTAATTAATTAAATATATATTAATAATATATTTAACTAAATATATTTAATACATTTTAATAATATAAAATAATATATTAAAAGCCATTCATTTTCATACTGCAAATGAGTGCATTTTCTGGTTTGTAAATTGTATCTCAGTAAAGCTGTTTCTAAAAAAGGTGGCTGAAGTTAGGCTAACCTGATGAATATTTGCTTTAAAACCGACTGCAGTGCACTGTCTGGAGTTTTCTAGGAAGTTCTGGGCTTTACAGGTGTATGAACACAGTCTCACCAGAACACGTCCAACCTGTCCACCAGCTTGTCGACTGAATGGACTCTTTCTAGATACCTCCACAAGACAGAAGCCTTTAAACACGATCTTTAGATTTAGGGAGACAGATGAAGAGAGAGAGAGAGTGAGAGACGAAGTGGAGAAGGGAGTAGGAACAGAGGGTGAGCGAACGCTAGAGAAACAGTTATTTTGTTGCATTTCTCTCCTTTAAATAGTCTCTTCCCATCCCCTTCCTCCACCTAAAATCATTATTTTCAGAGAATGCAATCATTAAGGCATCTGTATTTCAATAGAGAATTTCTTTTTTTTTTTTTTTTTAATATTTTAAAGGTGTTTAATGTTTATTTATTTTTGAGAGTGACAGAGACAGAGCACGAGCGAGGAAGGGGCAGAGAGAGAGGGAGACACAGAATTGGAAGCAGGCTCCAGGCTCTGAGCTGTCAGCACAGGGCCTGACACGGGGCTTAAATTCATGGACCATGAGATCATGACCTGAGCCGAAGATGGATGCTTAACCTATGAGCCACCCAGGGGCCCCAGTAGAGAATTTCTTTATGAGTTGTATCAACTTGGTAAATGCTTCCTATGTATGTGTTTCCTCTATAAGTTGGATATATAAGATCTAGCTATCTATCCATATACATACACACACACAGAACTTTATATATATATAACACTTGTATATTATTTTACATATAAAATTTATGTTATAGGCAACTAAAGCTTATTACATATAATATGATATGTATTTATAGGATATATATATATATTCAAACTTAAGTTTGATTTTTCCATATCCATACTTATTATTTGCTTGGCATAATTATTTTTATTTCTTTCAGAGAGGTCTCAGAAAGTGTTAGTTTCTTCCAATTCTCAGAGAAGGGGTGACTCTTCCTGCGAAGGGACTTAGTTATAAGATTGATCATTTTCCAGTTCCAAAATTTAAAAAACCCATGTCTTATGAAAAATAGGAAATTTCCAACATGAGGAAGCATCATCCATCCTAAACAGGACTCTCTCAACTATACGTGCAAGGCGTTCTTTTGTTCTGTGCCAAAAAGCATACAACAATTTTAATTCTAGGCCCTGTGAAACCTACTTTGTGAAATTTAGGTGATCCAGCATTTGCTACTGGGTTCCTGGAAAGCAAGAAGGAAGGACTGAATGCCACTCCCTGGAGTGACTCAACATGAGGGCCCTTGATGTGATTTTCAGCTCAGAACGATAGTAAGAGTAACAAAAGCATTAAATAATAAATAATACTTGATGAATATTTTAGGCACTGTGCTCAGTGTTTTATACACATTATAGCATTTAATCTTCAAAGTCCTCAAAGCTCCTAAATGACAAATAGGGACACTGAGGCTCAGGACACCTTTGTTAGTTTTCCAAGTTGTACTGTTGGAAAGTACAAAAGCCAGATTCATGTTTTGACAGTGTGACTTCAGGGTCCATTGTCTTAGTGACCATCTGAAATTCACTCCAGTAAGGAGGAGTTATCTGGTAACTATCTACCTTGGTAGGAGACCGTCTTGGTAGAGTGTTCCTGCAGAGCCTGGGTTATCTTCTTTTCAGATATGCTGGGGAGGAGTTCCTACCTCAGGTGCAGAGATAGCTAGATATCTCCCAAAGTAGCTTCGACTTCAAAACAAATGGGGAAAATAGATATTCTCTAAAACTGATGAACTTAAGCAAAAAGCAAAGGCGTTATTATGCGTAAGAGATGCTCTTGTACTGAAGGGGGGCTGGGACTAGGAAGACGTCAAGGAAACAAAGCTCTTGAGAACATGGAATTATCAGATTAGCCTGGATCCTTTGGGTCCTGTCTCCCCACAGGTGATCGACCCTCCCTCCCATATTTCTCCTTTTGCTGCTTTGGGTAGATGTAGGGACTGCCCGGTGTTGTCATCAGGGCTCTTCTCTCTGTTGCCTTTTCTCTTACAGGCATCCATCGACCTGTCCCGTCAGCCAGCCCCAGCACAGCCACATTGACTTGGTGGGTCCACAAGTCAAGAACAAGGCTTGGCTAGTTGACAAGCAGTCATCAGAGCCCTGTGCTGAAGGCTCTGAGGTTCAGAAGGATGAGGGAAACGTCTTCCTGTGCAGTCTGTGGGCCTTTAATCCAAACATCCTGTTTGAGTGGGGCAAACAGGAAACCACAGAAAAACAGAAAGACAGAAAGCAAGTAATGTCAAAACAAGGACCCACGGCGGTCCTGAAACCAATGGTAGTGATGATCAGCGTAAGGAATCTTTCTTGAAGATTCCAGCAATTTGGAGTAACGTTGAGAAATAGGGAGTGACAGTGGCAAAAAGTAATCACTCCTGAGCCTTGATCCCAAAGGTTAAGATGTCCTTGTGAAAAGAAAGAACCAATGCATGGAGTTGAGAGAGGAAAGGACCAAGACAGGTACATAGTCAAAGAGAATTGGAACAAAAATAGCACATCTGGAAGGTTTAAAGGAAATAAAACAACCTAATGGCTGGGAACAATGAAGGTACAGGGAACATTGCATCTCATCCCAAGAAATATGGCAAATTCAATGGCTAGTGACATTCTTATTAAGAGCAGCTATCAGCATTCAAGAGTCTCTCATGGTTTGCCTCTCTCCCTTTCCCCCACCATTTCCGCCCTTCTTCTCCCCCTTGTTCCTCCGTCAAGTTCCTCCTAATCCTCCTATACGTGCAAACATATGATATTTGTCCTTCTCTGCCTGACTTATTTCGCTCAGCATAACACCCTCAAGGTCCATCCATGTTGCTACACATGGCCAGATTTCATTGTTTCTCATTGCCATGTAGTATTCCATGGTATAGATAAACCACATCTTCTTGATCCATTCATCTGTTGATGGACACTTAGGCTCTTTCCATGTTTTAGCTATTGTGGAGAGTGCTGCTATGAACATTGGGGTCCATGTGCTCCTATGCCTCAGCATTTCTGTATCCCTTGGGTAAATTCCTAGCAGTGCTATTGCTGGATCCTAGGGGAGTTCTATTGTTAGTTTCCTGAGGAACCTCCACACTGTTTTCCAGAGGGCCTATTTCCCTATATATAAAACAGAAATACTCAATTATGCAGGGATAAGAGAGAAAGGTCCTCTCTAGCACCCTCACACAAATTTAACTGAACTACAGATAATTTTAAAACAATGTGCAAGTTCAGAAACAATTTATAGTATGTGTTAAAACATCCATTTCAACAGGTGAACTTTGTGCATTTGCAAATGAAGAAATTAACACCAATAAATTGCTTTAGATACAAAAAAAAAAAAAAAAAAGAGCAGCTAATGAATGATTAGCCCTTGAGGACTCCAAGGCCAAGTGGCTGGTGTGACAGTCACTAAGTGGATCCTCTGCACCTAACACAGTCTCTGACATAGAATTGCTATGCAAATTGTTTTTAATAAATCAATCTTGAAATCTGGAGAAGCAAAAGCTTTAGCATGTCTTGTGTAATAATTAGGTATCAGACTTACTGAAAGGCCACATTTCCTCTGGATTTCTTGCTGGGTTTAACAATTTGCCTTAGGGGGAAAGCTGTATGGAAGGGACACAGAGCACGGTGAATAGACCCTGGGTCCGGGCACAGAAGTCATTGTGTTTCTGCCCTGCTTTCCTCATCGTTAACCCTGTGCACCCAGGCTAGTTACTGAAATTCTGTACTTCACCTTTCTCCTTTGGAAGAATCAGGGTTAATATTGTTTCTCCAGGATTGTTGTGAGTATAAATGGGACAGTACCTGTAAGGTACTTACTACAAGTTCAGATGTCATTAAAAATGTTAGCTCTTGAACCCCCAAGGTTCATAGCAGCACTCTCAACAATAGCCAAAACATGGAAAGAGCCTAAGTGTCCATCAGCTGATGAACGGATCAAGAAGATGTGGTACATTCCATTTATACAATGGAATACTCCATGGCAATGAGAAAGAATGAAATCTGGCCATTTGTAGAAACATGGATGGAACTAGATGGTGTTATGCTGAGTGAAATAAGTCAGGCAGAGAAGATCAGATACCATATGTTTGCACATATAGGTGGATTAGGAGGAAGTTAATAGAGGATGAAGTAGGAGAAGGGGAAAAATAGTTGGGGAGAGGGAGGGAGGCAAACCATGAGAGACTCTTGAAAGCTGAGAACAAACAGGGTTGATGGGGATGGGGGAGAGCGGAAGGAAGGTGATGGGCATGGGGGAGGGCACTCGTTGAGATGAGCACTGGGTGTTATATGGAAACCAACTTGACAATAAACTATTTAAGGAAAAAAAAATGTTAGCTCTTCTAAATACCAAAGGGCCCCAGGGCTGGGGATGATCTTAGTGATCATCTTATGCAGCTGCTCTCAACGCTGACCCACCCTTAGAATTTTCAGGTCAGCTCTTCAGAAATGCAGATACATGGGCTTCACCATCAGGTTTTCTAAATCCTTAGTTCCAACAATCAGTTGGTTTGGGGAACCGCTGATCTGATGGAACCAAAGGTTTTACACAAACAGTACATCTTAGTGGCAGAACAAGGTATAAAATCTGGTCTGAACAATAGTGATTCAGGGATGACAGTCACCTGAGAAAGGACTTGAAGCTCATGGAGGTCAGAGCCAAAGACTTCATCAGAGACCACTGGGTTTCCTGAACTTTGGGGGAAGGACATTCATATAGTTTCATTCCTTGAACACCAAATAGATCGAATGGAAGTGTGCATTTACTGGGAACATAGCATGAAGTAGAGCCTGAGGTCAAGACCAGCTCTGTCAATAAGTACCTACATGACAGGCAAGTCAGTAAACTTCTCCAGAGCTCAGCTCCAACATGTAAAGGATGGTGATTTCTGACCGAATTACTTTGGGATATTTTCAGTTTAAAGATGATTCATATATGTGAAGGTATTTCAAATGGTAAATTGCTAGAGAAGTAGACTATTGTCACTATTCACCTTTATGTCACTCCATGGACCCTCAAATTCCATACCACCTGGTGTGTGTGTGATGGGTGCGTGGACATTGAATTGAGTTTCTGGATTAAATAAGCTAAAAATGGAGACAGTTTCTCTTTAGTGTCAGGAAATGGTTTATTAATGTGGGGTGCTGAGCAGTGGGGGGAGTTGTGAATGGAAAGAGGGCTGGGGGCGAGTTGACTGTGGCAATTTTCAGAACTACCATGTCTTTCATGCCTCTTCTGTCCTGCTGGTCAGTACTGGTCTGGCTGGTCTCATCTGCATGTGCAGCCACAGAGAAGGGCAGGTGCCCAGACGGGGTGGGGAGGAGGAGACCAGCCTGTGCTGTGTCACGGCAGAGTCTGTTCGTGCTGCCTCAGAGACAACACAGCAGGGGCACTGATGCAAACAGGCTGTGACATTGCCGCCAATGCCTTGGACACCGTCGTTTTCTGTTCTTGTTTATAATAACAGAGTGAGTAGGTCATGGCAATAGTAACAGAGCATACTCACGAACAAGTCAAGAGGTGGTGGATCCAGCCTCTAGATCTACCCCCTGGCCCCGCTAGCTCTTCTCCGACAATGGAAAAGCCTTCCAATGGCATCTTTCATGTCATTGTTTCTCAGGCTGTAGATAATGGGGTTCAGGAAGGGAGCAAGGATGACAAAGGTGATAGCAATTGCTGTGTCCCAAAAGACGGAGTAGGTGGCTGAGAATCGTAGGTACATGACGGCCACACTGCCAAAAAACAGCAAGAACACAACAAGGTGGGCAGCACAGGTAGAAAAGGCCTTGTGGCGGCCCTCAGCTGACGGCATCCCCAGAATCACCACGATGATCCGGATGTAGGACAAGGCGATGGCCAGGAAGGAGGCCACGATTTCCCCTGCGTGGATGGCGTCTACAATGACCACCAGTGACGTGTCCGTGCAGGCCAAGCTCAGCACGGGTGTAAAGTCACAGAAGATCTGCTGGATCTGGTTGGAGCCACAGAAAGGCAGGGTGGCAATCCACACAATCTCAGGAAGCACAAGAAGGAAGCCGCAGAGGCAGGACCCAGCTGTCAGTTGGGCACAGAGCTTAGGAGTCATGATGGTTGGGTAACGGAGAGGACTACAGATAGCGATGTACCTGTCAATGGCCATTGCTGTCAGGACACAGCCTTCTGTGATGCCCAGGGAGTGGAAGAAATACATCTGTAGGAGGCAGCCAGGCAACGAGATGGTCTTCTGCTTGCTAATTAGGCTGGAGAGCATCTTGGGGATGGTGGTGGTGGTATACCAGATCTCCAGGAAAGAGAGGACACTGATGAAGAAATACATGGGGGTGTGCAGGGCCCTGTCCAGCTGGACGACGATGAATATTATCAAGTTCCCAGTTACAATGAATCAGTAGATGAGAAGCAAGGCAATAAAGAATAAGAGGCCACCTTCATGTAGATGTGGGAACACAGAGAAGAGGAACCCAGTCACCATAGTCGAGTTCCCACTGGTGACCAACTGTGTCATCTGCGAAGGGAAGAAAGGAGACAAAGAAACTCGTGGAATTGGGGAGGTGATCGTACACTGGTAACAGCTCCACTCCTTTCTGTAATCAGTTATCTCAGTCGACCTCGAGATCCTAGACAGGGTAGTTAGAAATATCTCTCAACTGTATCTCCACACCAGAAATATCTGGACTATTTGCTTTTGGACTCCTCAATGCATCTTTAAAAAACTTTTTAAATGTTTATTTATTTTTGAGAGAGAGAGAGATTGACATCGTATGAGCAGAGGAGGGGCAGAGAGAGGGTGACACAGAATATGGAAGCAGGCTCCAGGTCCGAGTTGGCAGCACAGAGCCTGATGAGGGGCTGGAACTCATAAACCACGAGATCATGACCTGAGCTGAAGTGGGACGTTCAACCAATTGAGCCACTGAGGCACCCGTCATTGCGTAAACATTGTTGTTTTGTAAACAACTTCAGTTGATGCAAAGAAAACACAAAGCGACACACAAATTAATTCTCTGGAAATACTTGCTGGGGGACCACTTCTTTAATTCCTTGGTTCTCCTCCTCACTCTCTGCCTCTCTGTGTTTAACTCTAAAATATGTACTTTTCCTTCCAAGTATTCTCCACTCCTGTTCTTCAGACAGTGATTTAAAAAAAAAAAAATACAAAGACGCTGTCAGAAGCCCTTGCCTCAATAATTCGACTTTGTTCTCCTTTTTTTTTCTGGCCCTGATCCCTAATCTGAGGCTGGCTGAATTGTCATCTTCACTACCCTGTTTCTGTTTGTTTCACGGTGACATCTGTTTCTCATTAGATGCTAAGTGCCCAGATGTCAGCAAATACTCCTCCTCACATCCCTCTCCTACTCCCCCTTCTCCGCCTCTCCCAGTGGTTGATCCTGATAGTTCCTCAAGCCAAGAGTCTCTCTAGACCTACCTTGCACTTGACTATTTGTCACTGAATTTCAGGCAGGCATATAACTCCACCCTACACACTGCACACCTCCCAGGCCTCATCTAAGAGCCAACAGGAAGGAAATAATTCCAAATAAAAAATCATTTCTAACATAACTACACTGGCCTTGGGAGGGAACTGTTCCAAAACCAAGCTGCAATAGAAATCAGACCAGCATCTACTTGTTAGGAAGAAGGGCCAAGCAGATTTTGGGTAAGTCTATTTAAAGTTCATGATAGCAGGGTGTATTACCTCTCGCCCGGACTATTCTTTTTTTTTTTTTTTAATGTTTTATTTATTTCTAGGAGAGAGAGAGACAGCGTGAGCAGGGGAGGGTCAGAGAGAGAGGGAGTCACAGACCGAAACAGGCTCCAGGCTCTGAGCTGGCAGTCAGCACAGAGCCCAACGCGGGGCCCGAACCCACGAACCGCGACTTCATGACCTAAGCGAAAGTCGGACGCTTAACCAGGCGCCCCTCGCCCGGACTATTCTAGCACCTCTTCCAACTGGCCTTCTAACCTCCAACAAGCCATTCTGCAGATGAACGTGCCTAAGCATGGCTTTCACTGTCCCTGTTTTTTTTCCAAAACCATTCAAGGATAAGCCTGATATGCATTATCTTCTCTGATCTGGTTTCAATCAAATTCTAGAGCCAAATATTTTTCTACATACTCATCAGCTCAGCCAAATAGGATGAATTTCCTGTGTTTTTATTTTTGCTGAGGCCATTTCTTCTTTCCTTGTTCTTGCTCTCTTCTTGTTGGAATCGTAGTTGCCGGTGTCCACCAAACATTCCCATCTTCTTGCACCTCTCATTGACCTACACTGCTGGAAGTGCACACTCTGTCCTCTGACCCCAGGAACGCTTGCTCTTGTCTTCCCCCGTGACTTCTAATGCCTGCTTCCTACAGTTTAAATATATGTGTATTAGCGGTATCCCCCCCTCCCCCAAGTGGACTGAAAGTTCTTCAGGAGGAGTTATAAAGTACAAATAAAATAGTTAAGAGTTCCCATGTGATAATCATGATATCAGGCACTTTACATTATTATTATTTTTTAAATAGTTTGTCAAGTTGGTTTCCATATAACACCCAGTGCTCATCCCCACAAGTGCCCTCCTCCATGCCCATCATCCCCCTCCCCCTCCCCCTCCCCCCCATCAGTCCTCAGTTTGTTCTCAGCATTCAATTATTTTTTAACGTTTATTTATTTTTGAGAGACAGAGAGAGACAGAGCATGAGTGGGGGAGGGGCAGAGAGAGAAAGATACAGGATGGGAAGCAGGCTCTAGGCTCTGAGCTGTCAGCACAGAGCCCGATGCCGGGCTCGAACCCTTGAACAGTGAGATCATGACCTGAGCTGAAGTCAGAAGCTTAACTGACTGAGCCACCCAGGCACCCCTACATTATTATTTTTTTAATGTTTATCACTTGCTTTTGAGAGAGTCTGTGTGTGAGAGAGGGAGACGGGCAGATAGAGAGGGAGACACAGAATCCAAATCAGGCTCCAGGCTCTGAGCTGTCAGCACAGAGCCTGATGCGGGGTGTGAACCCACAAACCATGAGATCATGACCTGAGCAGAAGTCGGGCACTTAACCGACTGGGTCACCCAGGTGCCCCTACATTATTTTCTCTCATTTAATTTCTACCTATGACAGAGAGATTATTATTATTGTTTTATAAGTAGAAAAGCTGAGAACCGGGGAGGGGGAGAAATATTTGTTCAAATACACATTTCTGGGATCCAAAACAGTGACTGGAAGCCTGGTCTGTAGGTCTTAAAATTCCACTATTATTTTCTGTTCCACAGTGGGAAATTTAGGTCAGGAGTCACCAGGCATTCGCTCTGTCTGCTTCCTACCCTGAGTACCTCCATATGCTCAGGACCGTCCTGAGGGTAAAATGAGCAGGTTGTTTCATTTTGTTCTTTCAGGTCAAAAGCAGATTACAATAAATGCATTGCAGGTTAGGAAAATTAATTTATATAAAATGCCTCTTGTCTTAAGCCTCAAGCCTCGAAGAAGGCTTTGGGAGGGAGGAGGTATCCGTGCTTAGCAGAGGGAAGAGCCTGCACTGGGAGAGCTGGGAGAGCTGAATGCTCTCTGACTGAAGGAGCCACTTCTCTCTCCGTTCTCAGCCAGAAGCCCCAGAGCATGGCCATGCTGAGTGATCTTTATGGAGAACGTTGATGGACAAAACAGGAGGCTACGGCGTTATGAGAAAAGGCAAGCAAGTTCAACACTAAGTGTCTCATAACAGGCAAATAGAGTGACTGTTTTGTTGCGCTGAGTGAGGCGCTTCTCACTAGGAAGGTTACTCCATTGGTCACTGTTCAAATATGTATTCAGTTAACAGTCATATTGACTCATATTGACCCTCCGTTATGTCCCAATCACTGCCATAAATCTGAGAGCTACCTGCTGGTGAATAAAACTTTATTCTTCTCCTGAAACACATAAAGAACAGTTTAAGTTTCCTTGAATGTCAGATAATCAGCCGTGCCCAAGGAGCTCAGCCTACAAATATCCCTTGTACAGTAAAAAGAGACTCGATTTAGATTTTAGCCCTGTGACTCCCCCTGTAATTTTTTGGTGTTGACAAAAATTCTAGTGCTGGAAAGACCTTACATATTATCAGTATCTTCATCCATTGGCTGCACTATGATCTTTCCAATGGCTCTTCCAGATTCCATGTTTCCTTTTTTTAACTTTCTCACTCATGTAATAAAGTTCTAAAAATATGAAGTTTTACCCCAGACATTGAGGAAACTTTACCTGGAAAATGAGGGCAAATCTGGGTCCAGAGGAGCTGAGGATACAAGGAAAGCAGTAGGCAGGCGCAGAAGGAGTGGAGGAGGTGAGCAGTTAGATTGGAAAACTTCCTTTGAACAGCCTTTTGCACTCACCTTGCCTGATGCCACACTGACATTCTTCAGAGTCCCTGCAGCCACTTACCCCTCTCTGCCTGTCTGTCAACAAGGATATTGATGTCTTAGAAGGCCCTTCAAGGAATTTCTAGAGAGGAAAAATCATTTCCTGGGACTTTCTCTTTAGATGATGCAAGATTTAAAGGCAAGTGGTACATTCCACCCTCCCTCTGAGGGATAAATTAAGGGGAAAATGTCACACAGTAATTAGATATTCCCCTGGGTCAGGTCTCAAAGGCCTTCCTGTGGCCAATTCACCTGTGTCTCACAGGGGACCATAGAGCGGGGCCCTGGGGCTGGAGTAGCTGCGGGTGTCAGAACTGACCACCCAGGGCCAGGCTTCTCTGGAAACATTCTGTCAACTTTCACTGATCTGTGCATTCCCTCTGCTGCTCTCAGAATGATGACGATGATACTTATGATAAATCACTCGGAATATCGACAAACATAAGGAACTGTAAAGGATGTGTAACATGTAGATGCTGTACTTTATAAAACTGTGTTGGAAGATATCAAACAGCCAAATAAGTGGATTGATATGATGTGTTCACGAATAGAATGTCTTCATTACAAAACATGGCAATTCTACATGAATCAGTCCATTCCTGCAATGCAACTTCCATCAAAATTCCATTTGGGGAGGGGGAGTGGGGAATGTCAAGATGAGGGAAAAGACTAAGATATGTCAAAGGAAGAGATTCAAATGGTAAGGCCTGTCCTAAGATGTATCAAAGGTTATAGCAGAGCAACATAGCAAGCAAATGGAAGCCAGGGTCTAGAGGGACACAATACGGAGCTTTGACATATGGTGGAACAGAAGCCCCAGAGCAGAGTATGGGGGAAGGATGGGCAGAGCCACACAGTGGGTCTGCAGAAAGGGCTGATTATTACTAAGTGGTGCAGGAATCTCGATTTAAGCAAATGAGCGACATAAAATAAAATTGTCCTGAAGTTACATTCCCATTCAGCTATAGATAGAATGAAGGTTTAATCTGAGAAGTCAACTTTAATGCTTTTTTAAAAAGATTTTATATTTAAGTAATCTCTCCACCCAACACGGGGCTCGACCTCACAACCTTGAGATCAAGAGTCACATGCTGTACTGAGTGAGCCAGCCAGGTGCCTCCCTTAAAAAA